GAATCAATGGACAGAAGATCTTCCTCTCTGTATATCTTTCCAATAAAAATTAAAAATAAATCTTAAAAAATTATAACAGTTGGAAAGCAATCAAATATATTTTTTTAAAGATTTACTTTTTTTTATTGCAAAGTCAGATATATAGAGGAGGATAGACAGAAAGGAAAAGCTTCTATCTGATAATTCACTCCCCAAGCAACTGCAATGGCTGGAGAGAGCCAATCCGAGGCCAGGAGTCCAGAGCCTCTTCCAGGTCTTTCACACAGGTTCAGGGTCCCAAGGCTTTGGGCCGTCCTCCACTGCTTTTTCAGTCCACAAACAGGGAGCTAAATGGAAAGTGGAGCTGCCAGGATTAGAACCAGCGCCCATATGGGATCCCAGCACTTCCAAGGCGAGGACTTTAGCCACTAGGTCACTGCGCTGAGCCCAGCAATCAAATCTTAAAGACACTTTTAAAACAACTTCATTGAGCCCCATCTGAAACTAGAAGTATATGTGAATTTCAGATCCCAATAGCCAATAAATTTCATCTTCGTTATTAGGGTTTTTTTGAAGTTTGTTCCTTTCTATGGCTGGGTTGTATTTCATTGTATTAAGATGTAACACATTCGTTTGTCCACTTGCTAGGCCTATGTTATTGCCAGGTTTTGGAAATTTTGAAAAAAAAAAAAAAGCTGGTTTAGTTGTATAAGTACAGGCTTTTATCATCACTTTGCATTTATTCTGAGTGGGATTTCAGTGGTTGTATAGTAAATGTATGATTAACTTTGCATAATATTGCCAAAATATGTTCAAAAGTGTTATGTGCCTCTTCGCATTCCTGCCATGAGAGTATCAGATTTCAATTTTTCTACATCCTTTCCCATACTAGTTGTTGCTATTTCTAAAAGCCCTTTTAGTGTGTAACAGGTATCCCACCATGACTTTAGCTTGCCTTTCTCAAGTGATTAATGGGTTTGAATACCATTTCATGTACTTAATTACCAACCATAGTGTGTGATGTCAAAGTCTTGCATCTATATTTTAAAATGGATAATTTGCTTCCTCAAATTGAGGTGTTAACTCACATTTGTATGTGGAATATTGTTTTGTCACATATGTGCATTGCAAATGTTTTTCCCAGTCGAAACTTGCCTTTTTGCTATCCGTAATTCTTTTGTAAGCAGCAGAAGTATTAAATTTTGATGTAATCAAATGCATCATTTTTTTTCTTATGGATCAGAAATATTTTTCCTATACTTTCTGCTAGAAGTTACAAAACTTTTTGCACTGTTTTTTTAAGATGGCACAGTAGTTGATATTTACAATCATATATGTAATTACATCTGATCATCATTTAAAAGAAACTTTGAGTAAGGCTTAGCAGGAATTTTAATCCCCATTTCATAAATTAGAACGCTGAGGGTTTGAGAAGCGCTGTGTGGGTTCTCAACGTCATAGAACTAATAACAGGTGAAATTGCAGTGTAAGGATGAGACTAGTTAAAAAAAAAAAAAGAAAAGTCCAGGTCTCCTGCTGTTCTACTATTTTGTGAGCCAGGCAGTTATGGTTCAGGAGAGGGCCCTGGGAAGCAAGGATCTGAGAAATTTAATTGGCACTGAAGTAAGAGACATAGGCAGTGGACAAGCCCATGACCTCACTCCTCACGCATGTGTGCCTCTGGCCCACTTAGGCTCCACAGTTGAAGCCAGCCACAAGCTGGCCCCCAGTGCCCCGCCCAGGTGACAGAAAGTGGATCAGTCATTGTCTGGAGGTGAGGAGGGATAGGGAGTAGGGTGGAAGGGATGACTTTGAATGAGTTAAAGAGGAGAGTTTAGAAAATAATTTTTGAGTGAGGTCCATGGCAGACTGTCACTAGCAGACCCTATTGGTCCCGGTCCATTCATAGGAGTCTTGGTGAAATGCTCACCAGAATGGAGATGAACCAGAATAGGGCTGCTGAGGGCTTGTTTGAGATGCTATTAATGAACGCTTGCTATGGGCTTCCTTGGGCCAGGCCAATGTACTCACAGGCCATGGAGATAGCTGGGAGGGAACAGGTATCATCACACCTGGGGAGTCTCTCTGATCAAACTACTGTACCCTCAGATGAGTATGGGGACTGGGACTGTGGGCAGGTCTGGATAGGCCACTGTACTCACAGATACACAAGAGAGCTGGATCTGATGGCAAACCAGATGAGGGAACTTGGACTCTTCCTAGATCAAGTCATTTACACCCACAGGCATTCATGAATACTGGAGCTGGGGATAGGCTAAACCAGGCCATAGCACAAACCAGGCCGTAGTACCTGCTAGCCCACATGAGAGCCAGGATCCAGGGTAGGCCTCGTGGGAGTTTTCTGTGGGTCTCTTGGCCAGGGCGTAGCACCCGCTGGCTTGCACAAGAGCTGGGTCTGGGGACAAATAAGGCTGGGCTAGGCAGCAGCATCTGCAAGCTTGTGAGAAAGTGGTTCTGGTGGGTGCTCCTATGGGTCTCCCTCATAGCACCTGGTGATGTGTACAAGGGCTGGGTCTGGGGGCAAGCCAGGATGAGATTCTTAGGGGTCTCCATGACTAGGCAGCAATACCCACTGGCATGTGTAAGAGCCAGGACTTGGGGGTGTGCTGGGCCAGGGTAGGCCACAGTACTCACTGCTGCACGTGGCAGTTGGGTCTGGGGTGGGCCTGGTAAGAATGATTAGCTAGGTCTGTGGGCAGGCCTGCCAGCTAAGCTAGGCTGTAGCACCCACTGGTGCACGTAAGAGCTGGATCTGGGGGCAGGGAGGGAACCTTGGGGGGTCTCTCCAACTAGACCACAGTGGACTGGGCTAGGCTGCAGCACCTGCTGGTATGTGCAAGACAGAACTGGAGTAGATTGGGACAGGCTAGGCTGCAGCACCCACTAGCTCAATGTGAGAGCTGGGGCTTGGGGGTATTACTGGTAGGATTTCTTGGGGGTCTCCCTGACTAAGCCACAGTACCTGCCAGTACAAGCAAGGATTTGGGGATTATTAGGGGGTCTCAATGACAAGGACACAGTACCCACTAGCACACATGGAGGCTGGGGCTGGAAGCAGACTGGGCTGGACTGGGCTGGGCTACAGCACTCTGGCACACATTAGAGGCTGATCCGGGGACAAGTTTAGCAGGGGTTCTTAGGAGTGAGCCCAATAGGATCACTCCACCCAATCTCTAACCTCAGGGACCATCACATGGTCCAGGCTCAGAGCATGTGCTATGGGACTGGGCCACTACCATTGCTGACTCCATGTAAAGATAGATAACATATCAGGATGTGCATGAAAGCCAACCTTTCTGATTTAACAGAGAAGCTTGAGTACCACACCAAAAGATGGAAAGAAGAGCAGATTGAACAGTGCTACATGCCAGGTTTTCCAGCAAACACCTAAGGCTATAGGCATATTGATACAGACATGGAGAGCCAGCAAACATGGGAAGTGTTAGTTCACACCTGACACAATGAATACTCAGAACAATCGAGATGCTCAAGTAACACCCTCAGGATATTCTCCCCCTCTTCCATCGGGGTCCCTGGCATGACAGCTCTGTCCCCCTGGTGCTGATGTGATCCAGCAGTAAGAAGTAGCACAGCAGCTATCCTCCCCATAGTCACACCACCACCCCCCCGCCTCCACCCCATCCCTCTCCATCCAACCCAGAGGCCTGCATGGGTTTGAAATCCCTTCAGCTTTGTAACAAACATTTTTTATTCTTTTTTTTTTTAAGACATTTTATTTTTATTGGAAAGGCAGATATACAGAAAGGAGAGACAGAGAGGAAGATCTTCCAACCGATGATTCACTCCCCAGGTGGCCGCAACGGCTGGAGCTGAGCCAATTCAAAGCTAGGAGCCTCTTCCGGGTCTCCCACACGGGTGCAGGGTTCCAAAGCTTTGGGCCATCCTCGACTGCTTTCCCAGGCCACAGGCAGGGAGCTAGATAGGAACCAGCGCCCATATGGGATCCTGGCACCTTCAAGGCGAGGACCTTAACCAGTGCGCCACCATGCCAGGTCCCAAACATTTTTTATTAAGTAAACATTAAAGTTTTAAGAATGAAAGTAATTATTGTTAGGAAGGCTATAGGAACAAAGATTATTTAGCCTTAAAGTTGGGCCCCAAGGGCATTGGCAAGCTGGTCAGTGTACCTGCCAGTGGGGCCATGGCCTTGTCTACTGCCCTGGGCTCTACGGTCCTGGCTGCCAGGTTGGCCCCCGTGGCAGTGGAGGAGGAGTCGGGCGACAACACGGGGCTCGGCCTGTTTGAATAGAACCAACATCCCCTCAATAAAGCCTTTTTACATAAAAAAAAGTTGAGTCCAAGCCTTCAAACAAAAAAGTATGGACTTTCCTTGGTAGGGCTGAGCAAAGGGAGATGGACCAGAAGAATCTAAGGAAAAGGGTCAATTTCTTCCTCCCTAGTGAGAAGTGTTAAAGACATTTCAGACTCTTTAAAAACAGGATAAACTCTCTTTATTCGAGTTTTGAGCCAGAATTTGCCAAAACCTGGCTCTAATGAAAGATTCCATTCAGGCTGAGGGTCACATCACCCTTAGAAATTGTGAGGTGGCCTCTGAATCTGTCCTATATTCTGATACAATTCCAGGAGGCTTTTTGCTTATGACTTCCCTGCTCTGCATCTTAGCATCTTCAGAAAGTTGTTCTAGCAGCTGTGGCAAGTTTGATCTTAGCTCCTGAAAGCTCAATTTGCATGCTTCTTGCATCTGAAGCCAAGTAGCCGAGAGCTTAAGGCTAGGATCTGGCTTAGTGTCCATGGAAGGGACTGAAATACTGCCTTTTCCAAATCTGTCCCCTCTGCTGGATTCCTCCCCTGCTTTCTATTTAGCCTTGGCTTGCATTAATCTTTTGACCACTGGGGACTAACAGGCTGGCAGTGAAGACCAAAGCAGTGCCCTTTCTGAAAGACCAGAGAACTGAGAGACCAACTGCAGCCCCAGGCATCATATTAAGCCAAAGTCTCTGTTCTACTTTTCTCTGCAGCATGGGTGGGAGCTCTGGCGATGGGCATGATCTTCTTCTGCTCTCCCATTGTGAGTATATTCACTGACCGTCTGGGCTGTCGAATTACAGCCACGGCAGGGGCTGCTGTTGCTTACATTGGCCTTCATACCAGCTCCTTCACCAGGTAAGGCTATGGGGGTGGGGGCTATTTGTCATTTCCCAAGGTTGAGGGGTGGCTTCTTTGTGGATTTCAGCTAGGAACACTCGTCACTGTCAAATCCTTGGTGACCCCAATCACATAGATCCCTAAGAGGCTCTACTCGTAGGATTCCTGGTCCAGTAAGACTCACCTAGGTAGGGATCCCGGGACACATGGTGGGGAATATCCCAATGAAAACTCAAGAGTTCCAAAGAGTGGGGAGGAGCCTCAGTCTGGTACTACATAGAGCCGGGGCCCAAGTTCAGTTCTGGCCACTGGATGGTTATGGAACTATTAATGAGTCCCATTTCTTTCTCTTGGTATGAATTTCAGTAACATCAGGGGTCCCTTCCAGCTCTACCATTCTAGTCCTCTTCAATGTGCTATACTTCTCACAACCTTGCTTTCCTTCCCAGGAATGAGCTTCTTGAGTAAGCCCATATGAACACCTAGCATCCAAGGAATCTTCAATAAGTCTTAGGTTAAGATCAGCAGAGCCCAAGACTGTCAAGCATTTCTTTCTCTTTTTTCAAAGGTTTTCATTTTCATTAATTTAGTTAATGCAGAGACAGACAAGGGTAGACCGGGGGATGGAGGATTGATTCTCTCTCTGTCTCTCTCTTCTCTCTCTCTCTCTCTCTCTCTCTCTCTCTCTCTCTCTCTCTCACACACACACACACACACACACACACACACACACACACACACACACAGTGTGTACTCTGCCTTAAAAAAAAGATCCACACAGGAATGGGGATGTTCTGCAGCACAGGCCCACAGGTCAGCTAGGACTAGGCAAAACTCAAATTCTAGCTCCCCTGGTCTCATTGACAGATCTTGGTGATGTCAGGCAAGGAGCAAGCTACAAGTTCACTTTATGTTTTCTGCCAGCCCTGCAGAAACATGTATACAGGGTAGGGGAGATTATGACATCACACCACAGCTTGAGGAATATGGAATTCCTGAAGAACGCTATTGACTTTCTGCCAAACACGAGTTGGAAGTTATGTTACTCCTACTTCCAATCTGTCTGGACTGATGTGGGACATTGCCAGCCTGGAGACACAGAAATTACCAGTGTGACATCTTGAGTGGGGGCAGGGTTAACTTGTCAGAGATTAATTTTGTGAGCTCAGCTCCCCAGAGAAGGCTGTGACTCTCCTAGTCTCAGGTTCTATTCACAGTGGAACTGGCATTCGACCTGTAGGAATTTCTTAGTTCCATCCTACTCAACAGACACACGGGAGAACCATGTCCTGTCTGGGACCTAGTCAGCCTTTTCAGAGCAGCCACTCCAAACCTTTTTAAGACCCCTCTGTGGTGGTTGGCTTCACTTACCATAACCTTGCCTGGTTCCTTGTAAGGAGGAGATATGCCTCAGAAGTGGCTCTAGTGTCAGTGCTACATGGCAAAAGCTTGTTTTGTAAGACTGAGCAGAAAAAAAGTGTAAACAAATTAGCAACATACGGATCCCATTTCCCTTCCAATCCACATGGGCTCGGTTACAGGAGGGAAAGCTTAGATGCGGTGTTTTCCTCTGGCAGCTCTGTTGAGGCACATTGGAGGAGGTGTGCTATTCAGCTCCTAGCCCCCACCCTAGCCCAATTGCTCTTTCTGTGACGACATCTTCGGAGTCGAGAAACTTTCTAGCTGGCTTCATGTCCAGTGGAAAAATGGTCCTAGTTGTGGTTAGAGATCCATGTCATCCTTCCTGGTGTCTCAACAGTGTTGTGATGCCTTTGGATGACATGGAACAGGGCAGAGAACAGGCAGAGCTGGTGAGAATTTGGCAAGCCCAACTAAGAGGGCCTCCTGTTCTGGGGCTCAGTTACAAAGAGATACACTACTCAGCACTATGAACTGAATGCTATGCTTTACCTACCATGAAACTCCAGCCTGAAGGTCTAATTTCTGTCCTTTAATAAGGCCCCCATCTCAGGCTATCTCCATAGGATGCTTGCAATCCAATGGGAACAGGTCCCAAGGGGCCTGATGGAAGAGGAACAGTGGCTTAGCTCTGTGTTCTGAGTGGAAATCACCCTTTTGAAATTGAAATTCCTGCTTACATCCACTGATTTCTAGCAGCTATACAGCAACAGTGATGACAGACACGCTAGGATCATGAGGGGTAGCACCACATCATGTGTGCTGCAGAGGTCCAATCTTTTAGTACAAAGACTGGATCTATTTCTGGGAAGAACTGCCTGACCCAAAGAAGTGTTAAATAATGAAGTGGACAGATAAGCGCTATTGCAAAATAGATGGAGGCATCAAAAAGAAAACAAAACTCTTCACTAAACTGTGCCAATATTGTCTGGAAGCAGGTCGCTACCAAACCTGACTTTCCTATGGCCTTTCCCCTCTGACACTTTGCGTTCTGTCACAGAATCTCATGGCGACAGCAGAGCCCGAGTTTAAAGCCAAGACCTGTCTTACTTGGCCAGGCCCACAATGTTTTTGAGAGTCTACTTGCTGTGTTACAGTTGGGCTTCTCTAGGGAACACATCCATACCACATCCAGCAACAGAGGCAGGGCTTGGCAAGTTGAAGGGATTCCTTTCCTCAAGATGCCCTAAGAGCCTGGGAGATCCTCCAGAGCCTGGAACAAACAGCCATGGGATATTCAGACCCTGAGCAGGGTTGCAGAGGGGGATGTTTCTCAGAAGATCATCAGTCATTCTCCAAAATATCAGAGCATTCTCTGAGCATGGAGAACACTGAAGAGTCCTATGAAGGGTGTCAATCTTACAAGATCCTGGCTACTTGCAAAGTCTTATTACCTGGGATAAAACTTTGATCACCAGTATATCCAGAGTGCCTGGGCAAGCAGCAAGGTAAAACTGCTCTTTCAAAGGTACTGATTGACTACCTGTAGCCCCTCACCCAGAGTTTGCATAGGTTGGCTATGACTCTTTCTTTCTTTCTTTCTTTCTTTCTTTCTTTCTTTCTTTCTTTCTTTCTTTCTTTCTTTCTTTCTTTCTTTCTTTCTTTCTTTCTTTCTTTCTTCTTTCTTTCTTTCTTTCTTTCTTTCTTTTTCTTTCTTTCTTTCTTTCTTTCTCTTTTTTTCTTTCCCTTTGTAAAGATTTATTGGAAAGGTAAGAGTGACACAGAGAGAGGGAGAAACAGAAAAGACAGAGATCTTCCGTCTGCTGAATGACTCCCAAAATGCCCATGACAGCCAGGGATGGGCCAGGATTGAAGGCAGAAGCCAGGAACCCCATCTGAGATTCTTAGGTGGGTGGCAAGAGCCCAAACACCTGGGACATCATTCACTGCCTCCCTGGTACGTTAGCAGGATGCAGGATCACAAGTGGAGTAGCTGAGACTCAAATCAGTCTTCTGATATAGGCTGTGGGGGTCCCACGCAGTGGCTTGACCTCCTTGCCACAATGCTGGCCACCATGGCTTTTTTAAAAGAGCATTTCATTTTGATCGGTAGCTAGGATTCATTATGGAGTTGCACAGATTTAGACTCAAGCCCCAGCTTCGCCAACTCCCAGCTGTGTTACCTTGGGCCACTTGTTTTACTTCTCTCTTCTACTGTCTCCTTTGCAAAAAGAGAAGTCCCTGTTCCTTATCTGTTCTGAGGCACAATGGCAAATGGGGCTGTGGGTAAGGGTGGAAGGCATAGAGTCTCGGGAGGCTAAAACAGATGGGACAGGGGGATTGCTGGTCAAGTACTGAGTACTGCTCTCTGTGTCTCTCCCACAGCTCACTGAGCCTGCGCTACTTCACCTATGGGATTCTCTTTGGTTGTGGCTGTTCCTTCGCTTTTCAGCCATCCCTCGTCATCCTGGGCCACTACTTCCAGCGTCGCCTGGGTCTGGCCAATGGTGTGGTGTCTGCTGGAAGTAGCATCTTCTCCATGTCCTTCCCCTTCCTCATTAAAATGCTGGGGGATAAGATCAAGCTGGCTCAAACCTTCCAGGTGCTGAGTAACTTCATGTTTGTTCTCACGTTGCTTTCACTCACCTATCGGCCCCTCCTGCCCAGCTCCCAGGACACCCCAAGCAAAAGAGGTGTTCGTACCCTGCACCAGCGCTTTCTGGCTCAGCTCAGGAAGTACTTCAACATGCGAGTGTTCCGCCAACGCACCTATCGCATCTGGGCCTTCGGGATCGCTGCTGCTGCCCTTGGCTACTTCGTTCCCTATGTCCACCTGGTAAGGAATACCAGGGTGGGCACATAGCACTGGCCCCAAGAAGCTGCCCTCAACTTTCCTAGAGACCCAAGGGAAAGACACCAAAAGAACAGAGCTAGTATCTTTGGGAAAAGAAACAAAGCAGTGGTTGGAGAGGCCCAGAGAGAAAGGTTGAAAGGGAATTACAATGAAAGACAGGAGGTGCTCCTTGAAACGGAAGGGCAGTAGATAGGGCTATCTCCATGCTAACAGTGCAGATAGCTTTTGGTGGTAGACATTGTCCAGATGCATGGGACTGATCCAAATGATCCAAGACAAAGCTTCCTGTGGAATGTTGGTCTTTGTGGGTAAAAATTTCGTGTAAGATATAACATACTAGAGCTCTCCAGATTCATCAGGTGCAGTAACTTCTGGAAAGTATTAAAAACCTCCTGCATCACAGAAGGCCATTTCTTTCACCTGGAAGCTGCCAAGCTTAAATGACCACAGAACTGTGGGCTGCAGTTAGGTGTTAACCTCTGCAGACTTCATTTCTTAAAACATGCCTTGGAAGCTTTGTTCAGAAGTTAGTGGAGCCTTCTTGCCTGTTGACCGGATGCTTCCCCAGCCTATCAGTGCTGCATCAAGGAGTGGGGAGATTGTAGAGGAACCCTGGGATTTTTCCTCAGTTGTTAAGGGTATATGGTGTGTTGCTTAGGCTTAGAAGGACCTGGGAGGTAACTCATCTCCACCCCCTGCCCCCGCCTGCCCACCACTATTGCTCAGAAGCCCAGAATCCAGAGAACCAAGGACTAAGTAAAGCCTCAGTCTATTAGAGACAGAGAGCTTCTCCTAGAGCTAGGGCTCCAGGGGAGGAGGATCCAGGAGAGGAGGTTCTCAATTCAGAAAAATAAGCAAATAGAGGGTTCCGGACCTGCCAACAGTTTACCAGTCAGGTCCTTTCCTCCTCCTTTTCTGAGGGACCCAGTGCTACTATTTTTTGCAGATGAAGTATGTGGAAGAAGAGTTCTTGGAAATCAAGGAGACCTGGGTGCTCTTAGTGTGTATTGGAGCTACTTCAGGCCTTGGGCGTCTTGTGTCAGGTCATGTCAGTGACTCCATTCCTGGACTTAAGAAGATCTACTTGCAGGTGAGTCTGATCACCTTTTCACAGGAAGGATAGGGACAGCCTCAGTCTGCCACACATTCTACACATGCTATGTTGTTCCAAGCCTTTGGGACAGGATGGTAGTGTGTGTTGCTGCTATCTGCCACATGGGAAGTCAATCAAATCCTCTGAGAATCAGTTTTTTATCCTAGGGAGAGAGAGAGAGAGAGAGAGAGAGAGAGAGAGAGAGAGAGAGATTGCTCCCAGCTACTGGGTCACACTCCAAATGTCCACAGTGATCAGAGCTTGGCTGGCCTAAAGATTCACAAACTGGCGACCCAATCCAGGTCTCCCATGTGGCTAGCAGGAACCCAATTACTTGAGCCATCACTGAACCATACCAGGGTCTGCATTACAATGAAAGACAGAATTACTAGAATCAAGTATCACTCTCAGGCACTCCAATGCAAGACACAAGCGTCCTAACTACCAGATAATTTATTTTATTTTATTTATTTTATTTTATTTTATTTTATTATTGTTCTTTGATACAGTTTAGTTGGCATTGGGGTCTCCCTTTCCCCTCCCCCAAATCCCCATCCCCTCTCCTCTACCAGAGAATGTTTAAAGTAAGTTTTTGTTAATTATGGATCTAAAGTTGTGGGGAGGGTTGATTGAGGCCAGAGTCACCTACAGATGCCTTCAGACAAAATGGCTACCATTTCAGCTCTCCATTGTTTCAGAGGGTCTTGGGCCTCGGCAAACGTTTGTGGCATAGTGCCTCTCTCCTGTAGGCACAGTCACAGGGCTATCACTTCATATTTTCAGAATGATTTGTGCTCAAGCACTGGCTCTCAAACATGACCCTATCAATGGACACAAAAAGGTGCCAAGAAAGGCCAGCCTTCATTTCCCCTCTCTGGGCTTCACCTTCCTCATTTGTGCAAAGAGCTTTTCCTTCTGTACAAATAGGGAGCATCTGTGTGGCTACTCAGAAAACAAGGAAACCTGTGTCACTGTTAGTATGAAAAGATTAATCCCATTTGCTCTGAATGCAGTCTGCTGCTCAGGTTGTCTGTATGGCAATGGTCTTACTCTTCTGGTTTATGCATTTTGTTTTTCTCAGCTGAGACAGCTATGGAGGTGCCCAAGTGCAGGATGCTGTGGCAGCACAAAGGCTGCTCCAGAAAATAAGTCACAAATCTCCCATCAGCAATGTGATTGTTGAATTCATTTGCACTCATCTCCAGGGCAAGCTCTGAAAGCATTTTGGGTAGAATCTGACTACACTCACAGCAGGGATTTCTCTGTCTCTGGTAGCTCCATGTGCTTTCCCAAATACCCACAAATGTCATAGACAAGGACATGCTGTATTTGTGTGTCACCTTGCAGGAGCTGGTGAATCTTATTTATCAGAGCTAGGGACACCCCTATGATACAGCCAGTCCTACCTTTTGTTACATGAATGGGAAAACTGGGAAAGGCTGACATAGACAGTAGCAGCAAGGCTGAGCTGCTATACAGTATTATTCTCATATTCCTCTTACCCTCAGTGATGCATGGCAGAGCCAAGTTGTAATTTGGCCAAGATCAAACTCAGAGCCTACAGTTCAGGTACATTATTAAACGTTTTTTTTTTTTTTTTTAAATCTCCTGTGCAAGTACTTTAACTCAGTGGCTTTTTACATGGGAGCACATCGGGTTTTCCCAATCTCTCCCACATGCCACCTCTTTGGTCTTCCCTGCCCATATTAGCAGCTCCACTCTGCCAAAGCATTCTAAAGTCAGGGTAATCTGGCATTGGGCCATGACTTTATCTTGAGGAGAAGCAGCAGCCCTGCCCGGCCTTGCAGTAGCTCACGTACATCTCACAGTCCTTAGGAGAGAGGCAGGACCCAAGCTGATTTTCTGTTGTGCAGAAGTTCCAGAGGCCAGAGAGACACTAGTTAATTAGAGGCCAAGTTTGGTGTAGGTCCCAGTGCTTCCGCTGACTCTCCTACTCACTTGTTCCTGTCCCTTCTCTTTACTCTCACTTGGCCCAGTTCTACCACTTAGAATAATTTAAAATACTTTTAGAATATGAGAGGACTTCAGAAAGTTCATTGGCAGCAGAAGCAAAAGATATATTTAAGAACATTTTAATGCTAAAACTTGAAATCCATACAGATCCAGCAATCTCCAAATAGTTCATGGAAAATGTATACACTGAAACAACTATGCATGGATTTGACCACTTTGCATTCAAATAAACTTTTTTTTGTCCATTTTCCCACAAACTTTTTGAAGCAGCCTTTTATAACTGAAACCTCTCTTTCCTAACTTGGAGTCCAGCTTGTTCATTTTACACATTGAGTACCTCAGACCTAGAACAGAAGACAGTGGATTAACTGCTCCTTTCTCCATCACCTAAACTTGCCGTCTTTTTTCCCTGAGTCGGGTGTAGTAGGAAAGGCCTACAGAGAGCACAGTACCTGGCTTCAGGCTCTGAAGCACAATCTGTTAGACCCTGTGGTTCCTACTGTTGATGACAAGCACATGGGTCTGGCATCAGCCCTTGCACAGTCTGCTCAGAAGAAAATGGTGACAATATGCATAGCAGGCTCACTTTGCACCATTTTTTGAGACCTGATTCCATTTCCAAAAGAGAATTTTTTTTATTTCTTACTTCAGCATGGCATAAAAAAGGATATTAAGATGCAATAGATAATAACTAGAGCTGATTAGGATTAGTGGATGGGATTGTTTATATTATATAATGGCACTAATTCTTTCAAAAAAGAATTTATCTAAAAGGTGGAATAACAGAGAAAGAGTCTTCCATTTAGTGATTTACTCTCCAAATGCCCACAAGAGCCAGTGCCAGGCCAGTATCTTCTGTGCTCTTCCCAGGCACATTAGCAGGAAGTTGGATTGGAATCATGACATAGCCAAGACTTGAATCAGGTACTCTGATACGATATCCAGGTGTTACAAGTGGAGCTTAACCTATTGTTCCAGGTAGCCTATCTCCATGGTATCAGTTCTTAATTGTCTTAATAGACCTGATTACCCAGGGGGGCTGGTTTATGGCTAATAGTTGTGGGTGACTCTCATAGAGGAGAAGCTGCTGTACCTAGTTTCTTGTTCTTAGCATCTGCTGGGCTACCTCAGAGAAGTATGAACAAAGCTCAAAGGTCTTCTAACAAAGAGACGTCCTCAGCATTATTCTACCCAGAAAGCTAACCAGTCAACCCAACAAACCCACTACTCTCAATAATAAAGAAAATCTGTATAGCATAAAACATCTTTGATCACCTCCCCTGGACTCCTTCCATGTGAGCTTGCCTATTGGCCAACTGTGAGCTATTGGAAAATCCTTTGGCTTGTGAAGACCTCTCTAAACAGATCAGATTTTACTGTTGACCTTGGGACCACCTGGCTCCTGTGGCTGAAAGGGGCTTGACAGGAGGCCAGAGGTCCTTTCTCTGCCTGGAGCTCAGATCCTCAGTCTGCGTCACTAAAACAGTTTGCCAATGACTTTAATCAAAAGGTCAGCTGTTTTCAGCAGAGAGGAGAAAAATCTAACCCCTAGAAAGGCATTTGTTTCTTTTGGAGTTACTTTACTGAGCTCTAAGAAAATCTAATGGCCAATCAGTGCTCTTCGGCTGGCTACAAACTCTCTAGACACCCTCCTAGTGACTGGATTCCCCTGAAAGATCTTTTGTTATCTCCTCTGAGTGTGTATCCAACCCAGAGTCTCCCAGATCCTCGCCCCCCCCCCCAGAGTCATGCTGTCTGAGATGTCTGACAGAGATGGTATGTCCCATGTCCTAAAGCACAGGAAACCTGATGAAACCTAACCCACAATTGTGTCCTTCATGACAAACTGTTTTCTAAAATGAAGCCTCCACACAAATGACCAATGGCTTCTTCCTCACTTTATACCTTCCATTCCGCTACCTACCAACTAATTTTCATGCAAGCTACACTCATTTTCTTCCTTCTGCCTCTGATACCTTGCTTGGATCCAAAACACCAATAAGCCCCGATTCCAGATCCCAACCCCTGGAACAGAAAGCAGATATAGCAACTCCCCTTATCTCAGAGTCTAGTGAAAAGATAAGTATTTTCCAAAACGATTTATTTGGGGGTTGGTGCTGTAGCGTAGTAGGTAAAGTCATGACCTGAGATATAAGCATCCCTTATGGACACCAGTTCATGTCCCACTTCCTTCACTTCCAATCGAGTTCCCTGCTAATTTCCTGGGAAAAGCAGTAAAAGATGGCCTGAGTGTGTGGGCCTCTACTGCCCATGTGGCAGGCCTACAAGAAGCTCCTGGCTCCTAGTTTCCACCAGTTCAGTCCTGGCTGTTGAAATCATCTAGGTTGGGGGGAGAGTGAAGTAGCAGATGGAAGATTTCTCTTTCTATCCCTCTTTGTCACTTAAGGCAAAATAACACAGAGATTTTCCAATGCTGGTTTACTCCCCAAATGTCTGCAACGGTTAGCGATGGGACAGATAAAAGCCAGGATCCTAAAACTTCATCCATGTTTCCCACATGGGTTACAGAATCTCATGTCTTCCACTGTCTTCTCAGGTACATTAGCAGGGAGCAGGATCAGAAGTGGCTCAGCCAGGACTTGAATAGGGGCTCTGATATGGGATGCCAGTATCATGGGCAGAGACTTACCTCCACTGTGTGCCACAAAGCCAGCCCCAAACACAATCTTCTTAAGGCCAACAGTTATGTTTTCCCCAACCCTCTCAATCCTGATACAATCACAGTGAAGTAAAGGCTCTCTTTTAAAAGATTGTGAATCCTTCAACGTAGGTCTTAGATGTAGCTTAGGGTACCTATTTAGTCCAAGTACTTTTCCCTATTAACATCCCTGGTGCCACTTTATGGACAGTAAAAATTAAGATCTGAGAAAGGGAATGCTATTTGGTATATGGTCTTTGACCTCAGGCCATTGCTCCTCCAGGTCCTCTCCTTCCTGCTCCTGGGCCTGATGTCCATGATGATTCCTCTGTGCCGTGACTTTGGGAGTCTCATTGTTGTCTGCCTCTTCCTGGGCCTGTGCGATGGCTTCTTCATCACCATCATGGCTCCCATTGCATTTGAGTTGGTGGGCCCAATGCAGGCCTCACAGGCCATTGGCTACCTCCTGGGCATGATGGCTCTGCCAATGATTGCTGGGCCCCCTATTGCAGGTAAGACTGACCTCCATGGAAGGCATGGGTCAGGGAGCCCTGTCTTCCCTGATGAGCTTTCCTGAGTACTTCTACTTGAGGTCTCTTTTCCTTGTGTTTGCTTTTTAAGAAGCCTCATCAGAGTGTCTGAAATCCCTTCTTGCTTCGTGTAAAATTAAACACAGCACACAAGCATGGATTCATCGGGGAAAGGGGTTTCCCATGAATATCTGTATGTGTCAATGGAGTTTTTAATGCAGACAGCATGGGTCCTTCCAAGAGAGTAGAGAAAACTGGGTTTCACCATCTTGACTATTCTATTATCCAGTATCTCCTCACTCTTTCCTTGAGTAAGTGGTTATTTGCAAGGCACGTAAGTAGGGAGATAGGAGAAAGTGGGTTCCCAGTTTTATTAACATTCAGAGCTGCCCACCTCTTCTTCTAACAGCTTCTGAGCTGGACCTGTAGAAGAGAATTGACTGACAAAAACCCCAGGACTGGGCCAGTAAGGTTCACCTTCACAAGCAGTAGCACAGCCATCTTCAGTACTCTCAGCCTCTCCCTGTACTCTTCTGGGAGGGCATTGCTGGCACCCCAGGGGACTCAAGAAACAGAAAATCTAAAGAAGTGAGAGCTTCATTCACTTCCTGTGGAGTTTATGACAGACCTTTCCCAGGCCAGTCAAGTGGGCTAATTCAATAACCACTCTTCGAACATCAATTACATGCAAGATGTTATAAGGGTACTGTGTGACCAGGGCAATTTTTTTCTTTTTAAGATTTATTTTGCTTATTTAAAAGGCAGAGAGAGAGAGAGAGAGAGAGAGAGACGGAGAGAGAGAGAGAGAGACAAACAGACTAACTGACTGACAGACAAAGGGAAAGGTAGAACTCTTCTATGCACTGGTTTACTCTCCAAATGGCCACGATGATTGGGGACTAGGCCAGGCTGAATCCAGGAGCCAGAAACCTATCCAAATCCCCCACATGAGTGGCAGGTGTTCAAGAACTTGGGAGCATCATCTACTGCTTCCCCAGGTGCGTTAGCAGGGGCTTGGATCAGAAGCAGAGCATCCAGGTTTCAAAACAATGCTCTGATATATGATGCCAGCATCTCAGACAGCAGATTAATTTGCTGTACCATAATCCTGGTCCTGGTTAACACTTTCACTCAGGTTGCTGTGCAACAAACTGCTCACTGGAGGAGGGACCCCTTAGCCCCTGATCCCAACAGTGCTCCAGAACCCATCTCTGTTTTTTTACTTGCTGGGAGTTAGTTCTGGGCTCATCCTCCCTATGGGGTACCTCACATTAGCTTCTGGAGGTGAGTGAACAAGGTCTTGTATCCCATGCACAACAAATCCATGGCCCCAGAATGGTCAACCATGTCTGTAACTGAAAGGAAGATGTATACATACAGCCATGTCCAAGGGCAAATAGCACTTCAGAGAAAAGGCAAATAGGATCTCAACTGAACTGTCCCATAAGAATAGTTTGGGAGATGGGTGTGAAAGGCAGAGACTAGAACTGTGAAGCAAGACAAACCTTAGCCATCTTCTGTGCAGTTCTTCTAAAGCAGCTTCCCTCCTAATTCCATGCCTGGGAGTGTCTGGGAGCTAGCTGTAGCTCAATGAAAGTACCAAATAGAGAAACTTCAAGAGAAGCTTCATTAGCTTTTCATAATAAGCATTCACCCCAAGGGGCTGCATGATCATTACCTCAGGGAGGAGCCACCTGCCCTTGAAGTTCAGGGAGCTCCTTGAGTCAAAGCAGTGCAGACTAAGAGTCTCTGGAGAGGCACCACCATGGTCACTTAAGAGGCTCAGAGGAAAAAAGAAAAGAGGCTGAGAGCACTTGTGGGTGGCAGGATGAAAACCAAGCTTAACTTGTCTCTCTTGATGTTTACAGGCCTTCTTCGCAACTGTTTTGGGGACTACCACGTGGCCTTCTATTTTGCTGGTGTGCCTCCCATCATTGGAGCTATAATCCTCTTTTTTGTCCCTCTTATGCACCAGAGGATGTTCAAGAAAGAGCAGAGGGATTCCAGCAAGGATAAAATGTTGGCTCCTGATCCAGATCCCAATGGAGAGCTGTTGCCAGGCTCCCCCACCCCTGAGGAACCAATCTAATGCCTCTTTCATGCCATTATGTACCCCTCCTAGCCCTTCCCTTTCATCCTACCTGCTCAGCCTTTACATTTTTGCCACCAGCACACTTGTTCCCATACCTGTACACACAGCATTGCAGCCAACTGCCCATTTCCCTAGAGCCCAAACTACAGGTATCCCAAACTCATTAACCAAATTCTCCCTAGGAATGCCTTCAAACTTGCCAGGGACCTTCTCCTCTCAGGATCTGAGAAACCTTAGGATCACCCACCCTCTCAGCCTTTGGAACCTGTCCAAATACTTTTTAATCCCCTGGGGTAGGAGGAGGATGGGACCTCCTAGTCCCAGCTTTTTTGTCACCCACCAAAACCAATTGACAAAGGTGCTACTGTGTCCCCAGGAGCTTTGGGGAAAGCCCCAAGCCTCTGATTGTTGAGGACTTCATTGCCATCCATCCTTGGGAGCCATTTGCTGAGGGTGGGGTGGGATGCAAAGAGAGAAGACAGGGAGGCAAAAACATAAGACAAGGAGTCTTGTTTCACCTCAGTTTCTCAGGACCATGACTTCTCAAGAGCTATGTACAGGCAGTGTTCCCCACAATACAGTTGCTTAACAAGCTGCTTCCTCCTTCCCTTCCTTATTTTCTCTATTGCCTCCTCTCCATTCTCTTCCCTCTTTATTTCTATCTGTTATAGACACATAGGTGCTTGGAGACAGGAGGGACCCAGAGCTTGGACCAATCAGCCTCACCTTGGCCCAATCTACCGTAACAGTAGCATTGATCCCACTCATCTCAAACTGAGCTGCATCTCACTTTTTTTTGGCTCAAGCTGATATAAATAATAGACTGGAAAAGTAAAATATCAGATAAGGAAGGGACTTTAAACACCAGAGTTCCATGTGCCATTGACTGGCATTTACAGATTTCACAGGCCTGAAAGTCACCTTCCTTCCCCCCCCTCAGTTCTCCATCCTTATAGTGACCTGTCAAAATGTGAAGATACTCCTTTCATCTCAGCAGGCAGAGGAAGACTGATGTCAGCTGGCTGGTGTGTGTGAGGAGGAGCAGTGAGCACTGGGTATTGACATGCTGATGGACCAACTCCATCTCTCTTTTTATGACAAGTCAATATTTCTACCTGGGCCAGGCCTGGAAAGGGAGTACCCTAGAAAAATATCCCATTCCCAATGCAGATCCCAAAATACTACAAGCAGCACCTGTACATTGGGTTGGACAGCTTAACCACCCAGTGTGTCCCCCATCCTGGACATCCTGGGCCACCCAGTGGGCATTAAAAGTGCCAGAAAAGGTAGACTTCCTTCCTCTGAGGTAGGCTCTAGATGTTTCCTAGGCCCAGGCTCCGGGCAATGGTCTTATTGAAGAGCATTCCAAGAGCCCCTGGCTAGGGGCTGTGGGCACTGCCAGGCTATTTTCAGCTAGCACAGCTCACCTCATTAGGAGCTCAGCCTCTCTCCTCGTTCTGCCCCTTTGTGTCTCTCTCCCCAACCCCCCCCCATCTTTGGGCTTTTGTCTATTGTGTTCCTGTCATCTAGCCCTGCATCATCTTTTTGCCAGGCATTCCTGGCTGTCACTTGGAGCCAACTTACCATCCAAAGCCAGGGTCATCCCAGGGTCAGGAGGATGAGGTAGCCCTGAGGGGCTCCAAAAGGAGACAATGGCCTCCCCACCCATGAGTTTTTCCGTTACAAACAGGCAGCTGGGGCATAGTTGGCCTCTGATAGTTTCATTCAAGGCCAAAGTCCCGAGCCCCCTTGGCTGGTCCCAGTCCAGCTCTTGTCAAGCTCCCAAAGGAAAGTCCACTGGTTCTTGGCTCTCTGGGTAGGAAAGGGCCTAATTACTGCCCTGTCAGCACAAATAACAGTGGGCTAAGGAAAAGCTAGACCCCGGGAGCCCTCAAATTCCCAGGAGAGACCACAAGAAATACTGGAACAACAGTGCCCTTGCTTCCATTCCTCCTTGCTCTCCCCTCTACTGGATCAAGTGGAGGATGCTTCTGCAGGAACCCCTTTGTTGTTCATGCTGTGTATAGCACTTAAGAATCAGGCTGCTACCCACTTCTCTCCAGATGAAGGAAAGACGTTTACAGGTCCCAAATCTGTCCGTTCAAGTGTCACATAACTTGGCAGGGTGTCAATTTACTTCTTCCACACATGTGCACGTGCGTGTGTGGGCTTGTGTGCTTTTGGAGAGAATGTCGGCTGGCAAAAGCAGCACAGTATTATTAATATTTAGAGTAGGATGCCGCCTCTTAGGCACCACAGTTAAATCTAGAAGAACGAACAAAATTTCAGAGCTTAAGACCTGAGACATTTAAATCCTCAAGGGGTTTGGAACAAAATAAACAAATCTAAAAATCTGGTTGTGGTATGTATGTTGCCTACAAGGGTGAAACAGTCTTAATCTGGTGAACCAGCAGGAAGTTTGGCATCAGAACCGAAGTCACATTTCAAATCCAGCTTCTGCCAGGGTCTACACTCTCTGGGAGAATAGAAGTTGGAAAGGGACCATATAAGGATTGTTGAGCTGACTGAATTTTGGGGAGAGCTCTCAAAAGGTGGTGACTTGATTAAATGAGGCCAAGGTTACTGACTGAGCTGGAGTACAAATATGCCATATTGAAAATCGGCAAAGACCTTAGCATTAACCCAATTCTCTTCCTTTCCCTTGTGTTATTGATGGGAAGCTAAAGAGACTAGCATAGCTGGGTTACACATTCCAACAGCAACAAAGCTCAGAATTGAAGAGGGTAAAGCCAAAGGAGCCTACTAACCTGACAACAACAGGAATGGACCTGAGAGTACCCCTTGTTCATATTCTGCACCAAGTTGTAAGTGAGGAGAAACCCAGGCCTAGAGCTAAGGGACTGCTGAGTTTCCCATAGTTCATCAGTGACAGAGCAAGCTGAGACCTTGAACGCAGGTCTCCAACTCAGTCAAAACTCCTCATTTTAGATGACAAGACAGCCCCTAAGATGGAAAAGTGACTTATCCACTGCATTCAGCAACTCTGTCGGGAGCCCGTTTCTGAAAGGATGTCAGCAGAAGGAGTTTGGAACAAACATGGAAGCTGGGCAGCATTTGCTGCATCTTTCCATGATTACCCTCCCCCCACTTGCTTCCCCAAGCCAACATGCTTCCCAGGCACTGTAGATTTTCAGCAGACCTGGTCCCTGTCCTTGGAGACCTGGTTCCACCTACTGTCCATGCACTCCCATCAATCCAAGAGATAAAAAATAGTCCGTCTTAGTAAGCCCGCACTGGGCAAGGCGGAGGCAAGACAGGAGTAGTGTCTTTGTCCTGGGCAGAGGGTGATTTACCACCCAGTTCTTGGCTGTTACATTTTTCCCCTGACTCAGTGCCCACACAATCAAGCTGCCAGGCTCCTCATCTCCTCCCACAAAGGCTAATTACTCTGTCTTGCTGCCAGGCCCCGGGCTCTCCCACCCAGGGTCTGCTGCCCCCTCAGTCCCACCCCCAGCAGCCCCAAGGGCTTTGTCTGTGTTTGATCACTCAGGATCATTAGATTTCAAAGCTGTGAAGTCCCATAATTTTTATGAACATATGCACTCCTCCAGGGCCTTTTCATGTCTAAAAAGGCAGCCAGTAGCTCCCCACCACTTTTCCAGAGGTACAGAGCCCGCCATCTGACAGGGACTACAAATCTGCAGGATCTGACAGCTTGGGGCCCAGCTAGGGAGGGTGCTGGTCAAAAGAGCCCTGGAAATAACTTGGGAAATGCTAACATGCAGAGACCCCAAGGAACATGGACAGGAATTGCAGCCCCACCCCACCCCCGCCACCCCCAACTCTTGCAGGCAGTGCTTCCAAGGCTGCCTTACAGCTCGCTCTAGTGGCCATTAGCCTCAGAGCTCCAGGCCTGATTCTCAAAACACCACTGCAATATTTTCTAGGGATCTGTGTCAGGCATTTGGCTAGAACTCAGCAAACTCAGGAATAAAAAGGAAGAAACTCAGGATAAAGCTGAAAGCACAAGAAGCATCTTTCTAAGATACTTTTTCTTCCTCTCAACCCCCACGGGCCCCAAGACTTCTGACTTTGGCACTCCATGGGCTCTGGAATCCAAACAGGGTTCATCATGCCTCTGACCCAGACACCATTGAAATCACCCCTGTCTAGCCCTTACTTCCCCACCACTGGCCCCCCAAGAGTCTCCCGGAAGAGCTGCTCATCCCAGTCCTGATTTCTTGCTGAGCCCAAGCAGGATAAAATTAGCCCAAGGATCATACAGCACCTGTGCCCAGCTGCTCTGCCACACTGCTGCCCTACCACAATTGGTTGGACCTGGGGCTGGTGACACCTGTCGTGGGCCACGAGCCAGGCCCTTTGCCTCCTCCTGCCAAGGGGATTCCAGCTGGAGATCGGCATGTGTTACACCCCTTTCCCACCACACTCATCCTGTTCCACCTCATAGACTGGGCCCAGGGATCAGGGACTAGGGTGCCAGCTGCAACCATTTCTCAAGCCTGGGGACATCCGGGGAGAGACATGGTTCTAGGGGCCGAGCTGCTACTCCTATTGCTGTTGCAAAGTCACTTGGGCCTAGGAGACTGAAACGGCCTGGGGAAGGGTGGTGGGGGTTTCCCGCCACTTGCCCCTCTTCAAGGGGACTGAGCCCTGGGAGCTGCACCTCGGGAACACATCTGCTTGGTCATGCAGTGGCAACACCTGCCTCACTCTGACCCCCTAAGAGTCATACTTTCTGTGCAGAGAACAGGGCCGGAAGGAGAGCAGGGGCTGTTGGGCTCAAGGGGACCCAAGCTCAGACCCTGCCAAGTATTGAGTTATCCAGACCGACAGCAGCTGCCCGGCCCTGGCTCAGCTTCCCTTCAGCCCATATGCTGCCCCTGCAGCTGCTATGGTCATGCTTACTCATGAGCCCCAGAGGTGATCTGGGCAGAACCCACGGAGAACCGTTTGGCAACTTGTCACCGGTTTGCCGAAGTCCTATTGGGTGAGCCAAGCCATCAAAGGACTCACCAGTGCCCAGGTGGGAGGCCTGCGGAGAACACAGAGCTACAGCCTCAGAAAACGGCTGCCCAGGCAGTTGCCCTCCTCACCAAACTCGAATCCTGGACCTGGTGACAAGACTGAAAAAGACCCACTCTCAGCAATCGGTCCTTGCCCCACTCTCTTGCATCCCACTGTTGCAAAAGTTCTGGTATTGTAGTAGTAGTAGGGATGGTCTACGGTTCTAATCACTAGAGTCAGTATCCTGCTCCTGGAAGACACGACAAATTTTAATTCAGGAACAGAACAGTTCTAGAGTTATAGCTCTCAATGTTAAGGCTCTCTGTACAACTCTCTGTTACAACATGTCTGCCCTTGGGGCCATAGCTTCTCCCTGCCAGGTTCGGCTTCTGTGCTGAGTGCTACAGTCT